GAAAGGAGAGGGGAGGGGAAGGGAGGAGAAAAATCAGATACTGTTACCCTCAACAAAATAAAATGTTCTGGGCTAAATATTGCTAAATATTATTTCCATATTACCTGACTGCTGCGAATGCCATTAGATGGACACAATCAATTTTCAATAAAGTGTAAGAGTCATGGGCAGAACCTATGGCGTAAGACCACGTGTGCTCAGATCACACCTGCTGCGCTTACTGACTCTGTGACCCCAGGAGCGTTAACTCCTCTAGGCCTTGGTTTGCTCATGCAGACGGCGGAGTAACAGCCCCTGTTCACAGGACCACTGTTAGGACCGAATGAGATCTCACGCGTAAAGAGACACAGTGCCCACACACACGGGAATGGGTAACAGAGTCAGCTACGGTTATCTTTATCATTACGACCATCACAATCATCGCTCAGCAAACACCCAATGACCTGCCTGACCATGATAACTAAAGTCTTTCTGCCCTGTGGCTCCACCATGTCATAGAAAGAAAAGCAACATACAGAGAAAAATCAAGAAGCCTCCAACAAGGTTTTCTTGTCTACTGGACTCTTGAGCTATTTAAAATGTATCTTTTTCTTCCAAATGTTGCTCACAGATATTTAGCAGGAACCAGATAAAAACTTTCAATCCTCTTGCATATACATTGCTGAGCACTAAGTGAAGCTCTGAACTCCAAGGACCGACGCACCCTGGCAGAGACGCAAAGAGGAAGGACACAGCTCTGAGGTACGGTAACATTTTAGGGAAGGGCCATTCCTCGATTTCATGTAACTAAACTTAAAGGGCTTACAAAAATTCATTTGCTAAGGATGACGTTAATAACAACAATTTTGGTAAATTAGATCAATACATTCTATTTAAGAAAACAGAAAAGTACGTAATAAATTTTAAAGTCTGAAAAATAAGTTTCAATTATCTAAAGTCTCCTGATGTAACAAATTTCACTTCCCAAACAGGTCAAATAAAGAAGCTATTACTAGAATATCAACAAATTTAAAGAAAATCTACGAGACATGGTGGCAGTGGAGTCTAACTGCCCAGACATCACACACCAGTAACAAAACACGGGTAAACGTGCTCATTTCAGCACTAGGAAGCTGAGTATAGGAACAATCACCCGGTACAGGAACACGCAACCAACAGGAAACAGAACAGAATACATCGCCACCCCTCAAGTTCTTGAGAGCAAGAATCCTCTTTACCAATAATTTAATAATATAGTGACAAGAAAACTGCAGTGCGAAGTGAGAAAGGCTGAGTGATCACCTGAGCGATCACAACCAATTACTTTGACAAAGCTCATTCCTTCTACTTAATGATAAAGTTTGGCAGCCCAAAAGGCCTACATTAACTTTTTTTTCCTCTTACAATGCTAAGAGGAAAAGGGACTATTTCTGTTTTGAAGATAATTCATGAACTTCCCCTCATGTTCTTCTGCACTTTAATTTCTCCCTGTCGTCCAATAAAATAGTCAACTCAAATGCAAATCAAATGACGACAATAATAGCTAACATTTTCTAAGCACTTATGAAGTATTTATTAAGTGTCAAGTACTGCTGTGTAATTTATAAGTATCGTCTCATTTAATCCCCACAATAATGCCTTTCACAAATGAGAACTCTAAGACAGAGGTTACAGAAAAATAGTGATGGAGCTGGGATAAGAACCTAGGCACTGAGTATGCAAAGCCCTGCTCCCCTACATTACACTACCCTGCCTATATGACAATGTGAGTGTAAGATACAAAGCATACAAACCAACTATAATATACTGTCTTAGTTGAATTTATTTTCCTTTTCACCTGAGCTACTGAAATAATCTCATTGTCCACTTGAGGTATCTCCGCCCTCCACAGCATCTTCAGGATTGCCATGAGAGTTATTTTTCTAAATGTGCATCTTACCATGTTCCTCCTCTACTTTAAACCCTCCAATAATAAAGACCTAACTCCCAGGCACCTTTTAGGCACTCAGTGTTCGCTTAATGATAGAATAACATGTATATGTCTTACTTCCCAGGTAGACTGTAAACAACTTGAAAAAACCTTTATTAATCTTTGTAGTTTTGGTAACATGTTTGATGAATTAGTGACTTAGCTCATCTCAAACCTAAAGATTTAAACAGACTTCCAAACTCATCTGTCTTTGATCCCTTCTTCACATCGCAGGCCCTTCCACTAAGCTCTGCCCCTTAAATTTACTAATTGCTGGGCTATCATTTATGATAGCTATTAAATGAACACTATGCTAAGAGCAGTCTGCATATATGATCTTATTTAATCCCAATGACCTTATGAAGTGGGCATTTTTACCCCTATTTCACAGGTAAGGAATTAGAAGTTCAGAGAAGTTACCTTAAGATAGAACTGGGGCTGGAGCCCATGTCAGGTTGATTCTAAGTCCTTGCAATTGAAAGATATTGGCTCTGTCTCCTACAAGTCTTTCATCTATTATTAACAGGCTGAGTTACCTTCATATTTCCTTAAATACCAGGTGTTTTTCTGCCTGGGTTCTTGGACAACACCTCAGTCTGGTTTCACGTTCAAACTGCTCTCCTTACTGCTGCTGAATGACTCCAGTGGGGGTCATTAGAAGCATTCTCTCTGTAGGGAATTTCTCAAGTCATCTGCCTCCTGTTCACGAGCACTCCAATTCATTTTCATAACCAGTGGTTCCCAAGGTGTGGTCCCCAAGAACCTCACAGGACGTCCACAGAGTCAAAACTATTTGTATAATTAATTGTAAGAGCTGCAACAGAGCATCTGCAATCGAGAACACGTGGCCCACAAAGCTGAAAATACCTGCTGTAAGATCCCTTATAGAAAAACTATGCCAACCTCTACTTTAGAACCTTTGCAAAGAGAATGCTTACACTTCTTTTTAAATTATATACGGTATGTTGTATTTTGTACCAAAATATACTTATTTTTTTAAAGGGAACTTTGTAGCAAAAACATCAAACATCTTCAAAGCAAATCCTGAAAATAAAGAGATGCAGTCCTCCAGAAGGTTTATGTTCCAGCTCTTCCTTCTTTTGTCTCTTACGATTTACGATTTTATTATGAATTTTATCCAGGGCTACTCACCAAAGCCAAATATCCAAAAGCAGACTACAAATCAGGCCGGGCTGGGTTAAGAACTTTAGAGGCCACCCGCCAAAGATGATGAGTCACTTCTGCTGCCAGCCATGAATGAATAACTGTATGGGACTGGCCCTCCTACCATGAGTGACTAGAAGGCTGGATAAAATATATGAAAACAGCTTTCAGACAGCGGAACAGGCAGAGCAGATCTACGAGACCTGCGAGAAGGGAAACAAGTGAGAGAAGTCCTGTGAGCGCCCTCCTCCCTGCGCCCAGGAGGAGGAAGCCAAGCAGAGCACAGAAGTCTTGAGGACTGAGGGGGCAGACTGGAGTTCGGGGAGGCTGAGGCAGCAGGGGTTTGCAAGACAGAGCACTAGGAAGGAGCTACATAGAGAAAGCGCTCTCAGACTCTGCTCAAGGATCCCCTTGGGCCTGCTGCTGAGGAACATTGCTACGAGCTGCAAAGTGAACAATTTCCAGAATTCAAACAGGACTGGAAGACATTCAGGTTCCAAATCCAGCAGAGCAGAGCTCTCTCAAAGAACCCGCGGGGCAATCACCTGAGACTCCGAAAGGGCCAAGCTTTCTAACGAGGTTAAATTAGCCCTAAAGTAAAGCTACACTAGACCCACTGTAACAAAGTTTAACAAAAAGCCTGGAAAAGATCAACCCAATCCACAAATTACTTAGCTGCTTGCCAAGGCAAATGTCAAAACTCTTTAAAGGAAGACAGCAAAATCCAAATACTTAATAACATAATACACAGTGTCCATGTTAAGAAGCAGGAACCGACAGAGATAACAGAATTAGCAGATGAGGACGTTAAAAGGGCTATTGTAACTCTATACACTCAAGAACATATAAGAAAACATGAACATAATAGAGAAATGGAAGATAGAAATAAGATTCCATTTAGTTTTTTTTATGCTTTCTAGAGCTGAAAAATCCAATACCTGACATTAAAATTCACTGAATAGACTTAATATCAGATTAGAAACTGCAGAAGATAAGTCTAATGAACTTGAAGACATAGTTATAGAAACTACTCAAACTGAAACCAGAGGGGGAAAAACAAGAAAAAAAATCAACTGATCCTCAGTGACTTATGGGACATAACCGAGCAGTCTAACAAACATGTAATTGGAGTCCCAGAAGGAGAGGTAGGAAGAAGAAACAAAAAAAGTATTTGAAGAAATAGTAGCAGAAAATTTTCTAAATTTGACCAAAACTGTAAGCCCACAAATCTACAAAGCTCAAGGAACACCAGACAGAATAAAATTACACCAAGGCACATCATGATCACATTGCTGAAAACCAATGATATCGAAAAGATCACGTTGCTCCCCTGTCTCCAAAACAAAACAAACCAAAACAAAAACTCTAATCCAAAGAAAGCAAATAGCACCTTTCTAGACGTTCTGATCAAAAAATTTTCATCAAACCTGAATTTGTCTCTCTTTATAGAGGCTTTCCTTTGGCAGTACCCATAGTATAACCCTAGTCTGTCTATAAGGTAATCAAGCATGAACAAAATATAGTTAAACTACTAGAAAAGAACTTTATCAAATGTATATTGTACAATTCACAAATGCCACATACTTTCGATTGTATGCTCCCTGAGGTCAGGAACCCTCATGTTTTAGCCTGTAAATTTCTAGTATGGGTTTCTAGTGGCACATAACTGTTTGAATACACGTGAATGAGTCAATTTCATTTCATCCTCAGTACATTGCTATGCGCTGTGTAGAACAAGATGAGAAAACAGATGCCCAGAGAGATGAAATGGCTATCTCAAAAATACATACAAGGTGAGCAGTATCTTGTGTCCCTACAGTAATCTCCCACACAGGTTACCTCAAAGTAGACACAAAATTACTTACTCTGAGTTTTAATTATTACTTACTCTGAGTCTCCACGAGATCCAAAGCAACACTGGAAGCTGTGTCCATTCCAGAGCTGATGCAGGATTGGAAGTTTTTTAAGGAGGAAAGAGCAGATTCTACACTGCTGAAGGATATAAAACCAGTTGAACCTGAATTTGAACTGGAACGTCCTGGCATCTTGAAATTATTACCTAAGTTTTCAAACACAATGAAACAAAATTATGAGTCAGAATAACCGCATAACAAAATAAAACTGCTGTAAACATCCATATGAACATATCTAATATCCCACAAGTGCCACACTATTATGAATGCTCCAAATCCTTTGAGAGAATACCAGAGCACTGCGCCATCATCTGGGCCACCAAACACAGATGCACTCAATATATGGGGAAGGTAACTGTTTCCACTTTTTAAAGGAAGGAGAATATTCTCTTTCAAAAGATTCCTTGATTCTCTGAAGAACTGAAGAAGAGCACAGTTCTTAAAAACTTAAAACATAAATAGGTTAGGAAAAGTAGACTGCTCATCTGATGTATTTTTCTAAAAACTGAAAAAATAAATTAGTTTGGAAACCTGTAAATTTTAACTTACCTGACATATATGCATATTGAATTCTGAAAACTAAAAAATATATATTCCTGACCATTCCTCTGGGTTCTAACAGATTTACATCTTTGGTGAGATTACATATTCTGTTTCAGTAAAAAGAGAATTTCCCTATAAACTTTTATCTTTTGATAACTCATCTACTGTTAACAGATTCAGTTATTACCTTCATATTGAACATTCCCTAATCTATATCTTTAACCAACAACTCTTTAAGCTTTGGACCACTTATGTAAAGATGCCTATAAAAACACATCTTTGCTTATTTCAGAAACCACCTGAAATTCGATCCACGGACTCCAACTAAAAAAGAAGAGAAAAAAATTCACACAGGCTTAGGGGGATGGGAGGCTGTAATGGTAGCAGGAAAAAAAAATAAAGTATTAGCACAGAATCATATGGAGACATAGCGCGAATCCAAGGCTCTGCTACTTTACTACTGAGTGACCAGGGAAGCTTGCTTAAATCTCTCTGAACCCAAGGTTTACCATCTTTACAATGGGAAGGAATTTCACAGTGTGGTCTAGCACACAGTATACTATTAATTGGTAACAGGATCTGCCTTCCTGCCCTTCCTTTCTTTCCTGGAGAACTGTTATCGACAGTATTTCTATCCTCTTCATTGCCACCACCTTATCTCACATCTGACCACAGTAGTTTCTTAATTATTGGTCCTTTTAATTAGGTTCATTCTTTCAACAAACAGGTACTGAGTGCCTTACTATGGTAATCCTTAAAAAAAGACACAGTAAAAAAGACACAGGGTATATACAAAGGGAACGGCACAAAGAAAATGCCTAAGGTGCTGATTTCTCTTTTGAGGTGTTAGTCTACTACCGACAAAAATCCACAACACAACTCAAGTCAATTCAAATCATTAACAAATATTTAGTACATTTTGGAGCATAGTGTAGAGGGTTGAAAACCCTGAGAAAGATGATAGCTACCAAGAGCTCCTCATGGCTAAGTTCAAATTTGTTTAAAACAGAGGCTAGCAGCCATTTCTAAATGGGGCCTCTCATGCAAACCAGGCTTCAGGGAGAAGCCTGCACTAAGCTGCCTGCCTCCTACACTGAATGGCCTGCCTGCATTGCATTC